GGCTACCATAAAGGTCAGTGTTGATGTTTTGGTATTCCTATTGTTGTTAACAAATTCAATACTACACTTAGACAGCTTGCTAAAGCTTGCAACCATTCAAAAATAATCTTCTTAAATGAAACTCAAACAAAAACACACCTGAAACCATATTTTCACTTGTCGTTCGGTAAGGCCAAGGGTTCGCGCCAATTCCCACCTCTTTTGCTTACTAACATAGGTGTTGTAAAGGAATTCCTTCTCCAATTCCAATGTTTGATATTTCGTATATGGCTTTCGCTTCTTTCGCATAGAATGATTACCCGTCCAGTCAAGGGAAGGTTCTGTAAAAGGAGCATTTTAGTTTACGAATCAGAAAAGAAAGCACTGCAAAAAAAGGAAAGTGAATTAACTTTTTATATGAATCTCATTTTAATAGAATGTAATTTGAGAGTTTTCTAGTGTTTTTGCGAGAAAATTTCTTTCTGCCTGACGACTCCCTGTTGTACAAATGTGTTTCTTGTGCAACCATGTTCCCATGTCACATCTCCCATAAGGTGTCATCACCTGCCCATACAACCATAAACAGTAGCTGACAGGCGGTCAAGCCATTAAACCCGGATCTAATCCATAGAAAGAGAACAATTAAACACCATAACATATGCTCAAAGGCAGCTGGCTATGCCGGCTATGCACTCGACGTTGATGTCGCGGTAGCCTGCCTTGCAGCACTCGTAAACCGAACCGTCTAATCAAAAAGGTTTACGAGTCCCAATGGTATGCCGGCAAACGTGCTCCATCGCTAATTGGATCATGTTTTGCATATGCTACCGTAATCCAAGCTGCTCACGTCCACATCCACTAAGTGGAATTGCCGTTTCAGCTGTTTGGACGGACTAGTTCAACGACGGGTTTGCAAAGTTCAGGTTAATCCAGCTTTTAGAGTATGAAATTAGTTTCCACATGGTATTTTTCAAATAGTTCTCTCTAATAAGACGGTAAATGTTTTAGGATAAACTGCCAAAAAGCAAGGCCTAATTTCCAAGTCCAAATAATCAAAATCTTAAAATAAAAAGTGTACTGATATCATTAGGAGGAGTTAAATGAGTGAATTTAGCACAGGATCAACTCAGTTCAGATAAGTGGAATGGGAACTACGACGATGAAAAAACAGCATTCCAAATCTGAGTTGATTTAGTATTGCCGTACACCTAGCCTCCTTGATAGTTTAAGGTCAATAAGTGAACAAATGAAAGCACATTTGAAAGAATGAACGGTGGATCTTCTGTAATCTATGAAACTTATATTACATGTTAACCTTATAAAATATTGTAGACTACGAGTAATTGTAAGTAATTATTTTTGTAAGAAAACACACTGGAATCAGTTTACTGTTATGTTAATAAAATGAAATTGTGGACCATAAGTGTAGACATTTTCCTGAAGCATCATGACTCTTACACTACTAAACTTGAAGGACCTAATACTCCCGTTGGATCATTTAATTTTTTAATGATCCGTATTAGCTGCGCTCAATGCACTTCATCATACTTTAGTATGAACTTATTAAGGAAATAAACGAATGATATGAGATCTGAACATAGAGCAAACTTTGCGGAACATAAAACGAATAAGAACCGAACCGTAGTCTACTAAAGCTATGTATGGCTCAGCCAAAGTTTTTAAATGCAAAAAAGCTCTGAACAAAAAACTCAAGCACCATACAGCTGATGGTTTCCTGCAGGAAATGTGATGAG